TACAGAAAACCTCTGAACAGCCTTATAGGTAATATTCAATAGAAAAAAATAACATTGAGGGATTGAGTTGGGATGGATCCATTGGCCAAAAAGGAAGGCCGAAGGAAGATAAACGAATGCCTTATTACCTTTATAAGTTACTGCTTGGTTCACAGTGGAAAACTATTTAATCTATTTTAATGTAACTCCCTCCCATCCCACTGTCTGAATGGATAGTACCCCTTCACACGAAGTCATTGTGGATAATGTCTAAGACTGCCTAAGCAGATGGAATTGGAGCATTTGTGCCTAGTGAGCTCTAGACAACTGTTTTGATAGCGTGAGAGTGAAATAACAAAAAAAGCAGCTAGTAGGATTTCTGGAGTTTCATGCATTACTCCACATCAAGATCATGTCTTGATGTGGAACTGTATACGGGTACCTGCATGCTTTGCTTTTGTTTCATTCTAAATGTGGAAAGCTATAAAATTGCTGTGCACTACAGCTTTTATATCCACATACCACAAATGCATATCCAAAATCCAAATAATTTTGGATTCTGATTTTTAATAGGCATGTTTTAATCTATTGTTTTAATTATTGTGTTAAATTTTTTAATGTACTGTTGAATATTTTATGATGCTAGCATTGTATGGTGCTTCTGTGAGGCCGCCCTGAGCGCCCCCCCCCCAGGGGGTGTGTGTGAGATGGGCGGGGTATAAATATAGGGAATAAATAAAATTTAGCTTTTCCTACTGTTCTCTTGAAAGATATTATTTATTTATTTATTTATTTATTTATTTATTTATTTATTGTGTCAGAAACAAATTGCAGATACAGTTGTAATGTATTTAAAAACACAAAGTTTAAAAACTTGGCATTATACTAGATTTTCTTAGACCAGAAGCTGGCCACTTGGAGTGCCTCTGGTGTCACTGTGAGAAGGTCCTCCATTGTGCATGTGGCATAGCTCAGGTTGCATTGTAGTAAGGATTATCATTGTAGTCAGGATAGGGGTGATCTTCAAAACCTAGTGTTATGTGATGTTTCCATCAAACTTTCTCAAATGCTCTTCTCCAATGAGCGTTACAATTTTTTTCTTTGCTTTCTGGATATTTTTGGAGAAAAGATAAAACTAAATATGCAGATGATAATAATAATAATAATAATAATAATAATAACTTATTTTTTTTACCCTACCTCCATCTCCCCGAAGGGACGTGGGGCAGCTTACAAAGGAACAAGTTCGGAGAGCACAGAGTTAAACGTAGTGCGATAAAATAAAAACCAAACCAAACCAAATAGAAACATATCACAATAAAACATAACATCGTGAAAACATGCTGAAAAAAATGTATGTCCTTGGCATAAGAAGAGTGCATTAGCTGGCTAGTTGTAATGGGTTTTATTGCCAGTCCTTCGCTTGTGTATTTCTGTTGTGTTATGGGAATCAGAATTATGTGAGTGAGAGTCTAGACCCAGTGTAGTATATGGTTTGGAAACTCATGGTGACCTTGGGCTAGCCACAAGCCCTTTGCCTCAGAGGAATGTAATGGCAAAGTCCCTTTGATCCAATCTTGCCAATAAAATCTTGTGTTGGATTCACCTTAGGGTCACTAAGAAATTACTTGCAGGCACAAAACAACAGCAGCAGCAACTACTAAGACCTGCAGGAAAGCATTGTAATACAGTATTTTGAGCTGCGATCAGTGGTGCTCCTGTTCAAAATTTCAGCCATCTATGGCTTACTGGGCTGGTAAATAGTCTCTGGCAACCAATTCATTAAACTTTCCCCATGCCCATCTACACCCTTTTTGGTTTTCTGACACTACTTTGTGACATAAAATAATTTGTAGTTTTGCAAATATTGGGATGTCCCAACTATGTGATAACATCCTCCTCTGTCTCGGTGGTTCCATTTTGGTTCTATTTTAATTGGCATGGAGGTATCTGTGCTTCCTAAAAGTGGACATAAAAGCATCATCCAGTAAAAAAAAATATTGGATGGACATCAAAGAAAGACATCTGTAAAAAGTGAAGGAAACTATGTGTGAGAGAGACAGAGAAAAATAGCCATTTTGATCTCTTGCACTGTCTGTAGTCTGTATTTATGAACGGATTTTAAGGCTTTATATACCATTACATTATTAGCCTTGAAATTGAACTGCATTTATAACAAATACAAAATACGTATTTTTAACACTGAAATGTAATTTTCCAACATAATATCCAAAATAAAGTGCCAAGAAGCTATTAGCAGCAAATTTTTTGTGGCATGTAATTTAGTATAAATAGTGACAAGTATTTTCCTCCTCCTCGACCCCACCTCCCCAAAAAACGGAGCCCATTAGTCATTCAGTTTTAAGAGCACAGAGGCAGCAGTTAGCAAGGGTGTGCATTTTTATGCCCGCTTCAATTGCACACTTCATTTATTTGAACATGGCATAGGCGGCTTTCTCTGTCACGCAGCACCGCTACACGATTAGCAAGTTTCGCCCGAGGGCAGCTGGGACGCTTTGCCGGGGCAGATGTTCTTTTCAGCTTATTCACTGGCCGTTCTTGGTTGTTTACTGTTGTCATGACTACCTCTATTTCCATGGCAGCCATGCGGCCTCTTCTCAAAGACAAGTAAATATAGTTATAAAAGGATCATATTTTGCTCTGTGTCCCTTACTTGCCATCTGTCAACCAACTGCATGTGATGGATTCAGAAACCGATTAAGGATAATGGCAGACAAGCGATGATCCAATGCAAATGGCTTTGGTGCCTTCCCAGGATCTCCCTCCTTCTCTGTCTTTCTCTTTCTCTCCCTCCCTCCCCCTTTCTCTCTCTCTTTATACTTATACTCCATATGCAGGTGCACTTTCTAAATTCTCATTGACACCACAAATGGTAGTGATGATGTCCCAATTACATATTTGCATTTAGCTTACATACTGTTCCATAAACGGTCTGGTTTACTACTTAGGCTTCATACCCTTCCTCTGTTTTTGTGGTGTTATACAGATTTCAGAATATAATTCATGGACATAATCAATCTCCCATCACATAAACAGCTCTATGACTTCATAGAGCTTTTTACAAGCTGTACCTAGTTCTACCACTTGGTTGAATCAATAGGCCTTTGGTGTCTTGAAGATATGGAAAATTGTTAGTTATTAATTAGTGGATTAATTAACATCCCATCTTGTTTATTGCTTTATTTTAACTGCTGGGAAGCAGAAGTTATGCTAGGGGGTGGCTTACTTGGCCAAATAACTTCATTGTTATAGTGGCCCTTCATTTGAGAGGGTGGACATGAGCATCACCATTTCCTTCTCTGGCTGGGATAGCAAAATGTCTTGGGACAGTCTGGCATGCATCCATGTAGAAAGGTAGATATGAGTACTTTTAAAGACATGTAAATATAATTATTAAGAGATTGTATTTTGTTCGGCATCCCTTTTCTTATTATTTTGTGTTGAAAGCATTGCATAAATGTTGTAAAGCAGTGCTTTTGGGTTGGGAAGATTAGCCGTTTACAAGAAACGTTGCCCAGAGGATGCCCAGCTGTATTTACTCAGTCTTCAAGGAGGTTCTTTCCATGTCCCCCTTCAACATCCCTAACTTTTGCCCCTCTCCCAATGAACTGTGTTTGATGGAAATAACCTGTGGTGGATCAGGAGTATGGTACACCTTCATTTGGGTGGGTAGCAGCAGCAAAATGTCTGGGAGCAACTTTGTATCCATGAAAAAGGGAGTTGATCTCTGGAATTATTTATTGAATTTGTATCCTGTCTTTCTCCGAAAATGGGCTTTTCAAGGATGGCTTGATGAACCATCTCAACACATTCCAAGAAGGAATATGATTCATCTGAACTATCTTCAGATGGAGGTAATACGGTTCATCTGAACTATCTTCCAAATCCTCTGCATGTGGAGTCAGTATGAGCCCGTGGAAGTGGACCATTGCCAAGCCTATTGTGTTCACAAATTCGTTGATCTCAGTTGTCAGAAGCATAAAGCATATAACCCAGAATATAGAATAGTCATATGTTTTGCAGCAGTGAAAAGATTTAACAGCATCAGCCTCCAAGGTGATCCTCAGTGCCTTTTTGCTGAAGTCTTGTTGGTGCTATATGTTGGCATAGACAGTCTGTTTTGCACAGGAGTAGTGTGCTTTTTGCAAAGGTGCAGAAACAAGGAAGGCAGATGAAGCAATTGGGAGCCCACAGGATAGCTTTTCTCTCAAACTTTCTCTTCCTTCCTTCTCTATCACCACTGCTGTAACTGTAATTTTGTTCTTGTCATTCCCATCGTAACACCAGCCCAGAAAATAGCTGCCAACCTCACAACAAGAATCACAAATGCAGTTGTCCCTAGTAAGAGGAGGAAGAACAGTGACAAACTAGAGTATAGGCTGCTTTCCTTTGGACCATATTTAAATGTTGAAAACAATAGTTCCCAACCTTTTTTTTTTTTGACCAGGGACCACTTTGACCAGGGACCACTCTCCAACATTAGTACCAAAAGGGTTACGAATTAGTTTTGGTCAACTTTAGATTCGGTTTAGCTACTTAGGGCGCTGATTCAGAAAATTGCATTGTATAGAGCACATCAGCTCTAGTTTCTGATACAGAACATATGCCATCTAGTGGTCGCCATCTGCTTGCCCACAGAAAGCCATATTTTATAATCTAGAACTGGTGGTGTCTATCCAATGCAATTTTCTGTATCAGCATTCCAAATAACCCCAGGAACAGACCTAAAAACAAAAGACACCAAGAAAATATTTTTTTGGTAGGGCTGTATTATTATCCACATGTCACTTCGACCTGATTTTAGGTCTTGTGGCCAAACATTGGCTCGCAGCCCACAGGTTGGGAACCACTGGTTTAAAAACATTAGGGCTTCTTTTCTTTATCCAACTATATTCTTGTTTGATTTATCTTTCTTTAGCAATTCAGTTCATTCTATGAACTAGCGGGGTTGGAAATTGGCCCATTTGTAAATTAATGTATTTATTGGTTGATTTTTCCAGATCCTGACATTGATGCTGCCACTGCCATGATGCTTTTGAATACTCCCCCTGAGATACAAGCAGGTTGTGAGTAGATATTTCTATAGCCTATAGCACCATAGATATGTAAGCCTAACCTTCTATTTCATTAGCCCGCAGCCTGTCGGGTTAAAAAAAATAAAATCAGCTCTGATGGAAAAAAAAAGATTTTTCCATTGGACCCTTGCTAATTTCTTTAGTTAGTCTAATTTTTTGATGGTTGTCCCTATATGCTAAATTTTATGAGTAGTGAATAACAGCAGTTGTATATACCTAATTGATACTGGTATGTTTTAGATATATACAATTGTAATCCCTTTCATAATAGAGTATTAAGTATTTTTCTTCAGTAAGACAGGTAGGAGTATACCCAGGGCCACCATCAAAAAATTGTTTTCGTTTTGGTTTTTTAAAAGTGTGGCTGACTAACAGACTCCTTTAAGAACCAGAAACAAGAAGAAAGAAGAATTAAAGTTATGTCTAATCTTTACACTGAATATTAAGCTTCCATGATTAAATCAGGTCTGTTCTGTAACAAATCAGAAAGGTGGATTCATCAAAGAATCATGCAGACTTTTTCCATAACAGGAGAACCTGCATTATTATAGACCAATTATTGTCTCTTCCTTTTCAGAATATTTTTATGAATTAAGAGTGGATTTCATCACTCTAATACAGGTATGGGTAAACCCAGGCCCGGGGGCCAGATGTGACCCCTTGGGCTCCTTTCTCAGGTCCTCCTCTCTCTCACCATCCTATCCTTCCTTCCTTCTCTTTTTTCCTTCCTTACCTCCCTCTTTCTCCCTCCCTTCTTCCCTTCTACCCTTTCYTTCCTCTCCCTCCCTCCCTCCATCCATCCCTTCCTTCTCTCCTTCCTTCCCTCCCTCTCTCTTTCTCCTTCCTTTCTTCCTTCCCTTTTGGTAGAGGAGGAAAGGGCAGGGAAGGCGCTTGGGGAGAACTTMCTCCCTCCTGGCCCACTCACCCTGCTCTGGCCCACCATGTGCCCCCCCCCCCCCAAGTTCAAAAGTTTGCCCATGCCTGCTCCAATGCATAATAATTAATACAATAACATCTTTAAGAATCTGTGCCAGTTCATTCAGTAAATTCTACAAGCAGTTTGACTTAACTAGTCCTCGGTATMTTTCATCAATGATAAGGGGAAATACTTGTATAAATGCGGGATTTTGTCTTCTACTTGGCTCATTCCCATGAACATATGTTCAGGGAATGTTGAGTCTTTTGCATACATTATGCAAAACTAGGTTGTAGATGCCTTCTTCTTTCAACATAGTAAACCCAGGACAATCCCAGCCTCAGGAATACCCTGTGACTGGCTTTGGTCAACCACTCTGTTTTTCAAGAACTTCTTTTACTATGTATAGAAGTGGCTTGTGAAATCAACATATACAGTATTAACAATTCTTATTCTCCCTCCTTCTTAGAGTAAGAGAGGTGTTATCAAACATATGTTAAAGTGCTCCGGCTCACTTTACAAATAGTCTATCAACTGCCTAGTAATTGGGCACAGTTCACTAAAACAATGCTCAGGGACATTCTGGGGAGTTTGTACGATAGCCTTCGTACACTTAAAAGGTCAGAAGAGTCCCCGGTGGCACAATGGGTTAAATCCTTTTGCCAGCAGGACTGCTGTCTGAAAGATCAGTGGTTCGAATCCGGGGAGAAGAGTGAGCTCCCGTCTGTCACATCAGAAGCAACTTGCAATTTCTCAAGTCACACCTGACATGAAATAAAAACTGGTATGCCACGTCTTCTGCTCAGTCTCTCTGGGTAATCTGAAGTATCTACACATCTACAGAAATGAATAGGAGGGTAATGGATAACGAGCAGTGGGCTCCATCAGAGGTATCCATTCCAAAGGGTTGTTCAGGTCTGAGCCTCCACCTTCTACCAGGAATATTCTTTAATTTCATTTTTAGTTGTATGTATTTCTTTCATATACTATAGTAGCATTGGAATCTCTTGGGAAACAGCTTAGTTTCATTTCCCTCATCAACTAAGCTCAGGGCAGAAAAACACAGTGGCTAGGATCCTGTAATGCTGGAACAGAAACTAGCCTTCTCATTTATCTTGATTTTCATCTTTAGCTCCAACTCTCCACCACGTCTTTTCAGGTGATTTCCTGACCATTTGGAACAGTCTACAAGCAGATGCCTTTCTTGGAAAAATTAAGATTAAAGCTGTTGCTTTCCAAATTAGAACTTTTTTTTTGGTTTGGAGGTTCTTACATTGTGCTCTGACTCTTAAAAGGTGCAATTCCACAGTAAAGAATAATGACAATTACCAAAACAAGTGTTGCATTTATCATTGACTTTATCAACTCAGGTAAGTGGCAGATCAGACAGTAAGAGCACCAAGAATAAAAGTGATTTTAAAATTAGATAAAATGGCCAATAAAGTAGTGTTTTCATAGTCTTTTATGCTCGATTTGCCTCTACAGAACTCAAGAAAAGAAACATTATTTAATGGAGGCCGTTGTTAATTTGTGTAAAAATGTTTGGTGTGTTGAGCTGTAGATTATTCTGAGAAAAACCACACTTTTCTTTATGTTGTGTGTGGTATAAATGTGTTTTTAAAAAGAAGACACCAGAAATATAATGGTATCAAGAGAGAAAGAATTGTCAAAATGACTGTATTTGTTAAAATGCCCAAGGCATTGTGGAAAATACAGAGTTCCTTCATCAGTGAAGAACTTACAGAGAGTTTATATAGTCTGGAAATAACTGAGAAATGGGAGTGAATGGAAGAATGACTTGATATAAAGGAACAAAAATTGTGTAAGGAAGAACTGGTAAGTATGGAGGGTAGAAAGCCACAATGGGAAATGAGGCGGTTGGAGCATATGTGGGTAGTCAGGGATGGAGTCCCATGCATATAACTGCTACTAATGCTCTTCATTGCTGTGCAGTGCTAAATAAAAAAAAAAGCTATCTCGTTTTGAAACACTAGTGTACACTTTACTGGAGCTTTTAAAACACTGCATGGCATGAATCTTTTCAGATTGCAAAATATGTTCATTTCTGTATATATTTTTTCCATATGTGTTTTTAATAGGAATGCATTCTGGTGTTCCTTTGAAAGATTGTAAAAGAAGAAAAACACAGTCAGTTGACCAGGGTAATATAATGTCTTTGTCAGAACCTGTAGGCACTAACTTCATCATCCTCATCTATCCCAAGTGCCTTTGAAATGCTTACATAGACATCCCTCATTGCTGTACAGGTCTATGCATTTGCATGTCTAGGTGTAGAGAAGATTAATGTTTTCTTTATGGCTACCATTAGACATTTTTTGTGTGTGTCAAAAGCGACTTGAGAAACTGCAAGTTGCTTCTGGTGTGAGTGAATTGGCCATCTGCAAGAACAACTGTTGAGAAGCTTTGAACGCGGTTGTCTAGCTTCTTGGCAGGCGGTTGGACTGTATGGCCCATGAGGTGTCTTCCAACTCTATGATTCTATAACATTGCCCAGGTGACACCCGGATGTTTTGGTGTTTTACCATCCTTGTGGGAGGCTTCTCTCATGTCCCCACATGGGGAGCTGGAGTTGTTAGAGGGAGCTAATCCGTGTTCTCCCTGGATTCAAACCTCCGACCTGTAGGTCTTCAGTTCTGCCGGCACAAGGGTTTAACCCATTGCACCACAAGGGACTCATAGACAAATACGGATAACTGTATTATTAATGGAAAACACTAACTTATATTTATCATTCCATAGAAGCACTTGAATAAAGAATGCCATATCTGATGTTTCTCATAATTAAATGTCTCAGACATTACTTAACATTCCTGTTAATTTTAAACATTAATTTCTACTTTCCCTGATACATGCTGAAATACGTATACTATGGAAAAGAAAGTCCAAAGGATTCTTCATCATGTCATCATGTTTAAAGGATTCCCAGTCTTTTGTATCCTATCAAAATGTCCATCTATGTTGCCTAAACATAGTATTAGTTGTATCCCATCTCATAAAGGGCACTCTTCTGGCAGTGTGGATCAGTGATTTTGACTGGCTTAAAGTTTACCGTAGTATTCTTGCCCCAATTCCTCTTTTGTTTTCTACACACATAAACCATTCTTGAAATGGTACATCATGTGTGACAGTGCCTTTCACCAAGATATTGGTTGTGATCTTATTCCATCTAAATCAGTTGTGGGACACGGTAGTATGCTAACTAATACTAACTCATTCTTGCTGAATCTCCATGTCATCTCAAGAGTTTGATGTGTCACAGACTACCATAAATTACATTGCCGTGTGTTTACCTTCAAGTTGTCGGGTGACTTATGACAACCCCATGAATATCATAGAGATTTTTTTTTAGACAAGGAATACTCAGAGGTCGTTTTGCCAATTCCTTCCTCTGAAATATAGCCTATAGCAAAGTATATATTGTCCATCCAAGTACTAACCAGGGCTGACCATGTAACTAGTACTGATTTTGGACAACTGATGTTTCTTTTGATCTCCTATTCCTTGTCCACCAGTGTACTGTAAAAGTTAGATACAGTAATAGAATCCTTGTAAACATATAAATGTTCTTCTGGGGAAATGATATTTTCCTACATTTGTGGTGGGACTCAGTTTCTTTGATAGTGATTTGTGAGTGTGAAATGACGAGAACCACTGTCCTTGAAGAAACTGTCCTTAAGGGGTGATTGTGTATGATTTATAGGGGCTAAAGCTGTGATTAACATACTCAGTTCAAGAAGATTTTGGGGAAGTCACATGGCTCTTATTATTTTTAATGTGAATTGAAACGACAAAGTAAAATACAATCAAGGCTGCACACCTTTATGTTTTGCTAAATAATGACACATTCCTTCAGCTTTAATATATATATATATATATATATATATATATATATATATATATATCACCAAATGTTGATGTGATTTTGCCCAACTGATGCTTAACGATAATACAAGAATAACTGTGAGTAGTATATTCCATAAACAATCTGTGTGTTGTCGACTTTGACTTATGGTGACCCTATGAATGAGAGACCTGGAAAACTCATTTAGGGCTG